TCTTTTGAAATGTCTTCATCGTGCATTTCCAGAGAGTTCATCTGACCTACTCTGTCAGCCTAGTTCACAGTGGCCTCATTGCAACTGCCGCTTCCTCAGTCACCAGAGATGCTTCTTTCTCAGATTGTATGGGCAGAGGTGGCCTTCCCATGGAGACCTCCTGACACCCATACACAGGGCATCCCGGGACCATTTCAGTGTAACTTCTGATGAACTTTTTACCAAAGACAACTGCACTATCAGCAGTATTCAACCCTTTATCATGCAGTCAGAATCAAAACAAACTCAAGAGATACTTTATTTCAGGTTGCTAGCCTAGCTGTAATTTGATCCGTTTCCTCCTTTGTTTCATAAACTGTGTTTCCATAAAATATTTTCTGATGACCTGCTCAAAGAAGCCCTCTCTGGCATAGGAAGGGTGAGGGCTGCTGCTGAGTGTGTCTGCATGCTTGTGGCTCTGAAGGACTGGATGGCCTCCCTCTCCCTCCTAGGAGACTCACTATAGCATAACAGTTATCACTGTAACATAGGCATTGTGGTAAAAATAGAGGTGGGCTGTGTAAGTTTATCTCAGGGAGAGGGCTGAGAGACTAGCTGTTACTTCTGCACAGGTCAATCTGAAGAAAGTTTAATTGTATAGTTGTGAAGCCCGCTGTGTGCAGAAACTGCACCGGCTGCAGGGAACCGGCAGGCTCTGGGATGGAGCAGCCTCTGCAGAGGTACAGGCTGGGCGCTGAGGGCTGGGCAGAAGCTCTGCTGAAAGGGCCTGGGGCTCCAGGTGCATGGTGCTGTACACCCAAGGCAGAAACTGCCTCTGCCATACCTCTCCTATAGGAGAGGTATGGCAGAGGCATCATATAATCCTGCCTCGGTTTCCCCATAAGAGCCTCTAAAGAACTGTGTAAGGAGAAAATTCAAAGGTATGTGAGAAAAAAACATCTTGTTTTGAGGAGCAAGTACCTCACAACTGGAAAAAGCTGGGGTTACCTCTAGAGCTGCCTGTAACCTTGCCAGTATTTCTAGTGTTGATTCTGATAGTCATCTGTTGGCTGCCTCCTGCTGGGGAGGGCACTTAAAGGCACCCCGGTAATCCCAAATTGCTTATTTTCAAACCTGTTATCTGAACCTCTTGCAAATGCAGCATTTGACTGACTACTGAAAGCTATCTTCATCTCAGAGCCTTTGCCAAACCTCTTCCATATCACAGTATGAAAAAATTCTCAAAAGATTTTGCATCTTGTCCCTTGGAGCTTAGAAATATCCCTTTGTCGTGATTGTTTCTCTAACTTGCTTTCTCTGTACACACCTGTTGCCTCTGGTCATACAGATAGAGTGTAACCAATTTTAAGGCAGAGGAGTCCTTTCAGGTTTTTTTCATACAGGATGTAGCACAGTTAAATCCTACATTTTTTTCTGAGAAATGGCTGAGATCCCCTGCGTACCAATATGCGAGTCACCCACAACACATTTTTTTTCTTCAGCTGTCTGTGTGATGCTTTCCCATCTCTATATATGTCAGGGTCCTTCCATGTCCCTCCAACCCATACATAACTCCTTCATGCAAGATGCTTTCTTGTACCCTGTTAAAAACTCAGTGAGTTCTGTATTCCCCATGCTCTATCCCAAATCATGCCTCTTTTCTTGCCTGTGCTGAGGGCTGCCTCTGCGTTCTTTCTTCTGATCCTTTACCATCCTCTTTCTTTTTTTCTTTCTTTTTGTTGGGCTGGAGAGGAAGGCTGATAACTACATCAGGGTGCCTGGGATGGGTCTGACCTGCTAGGTAACAGCAGGCCTGGGGAAGCATTTGTGCACTCCAGCCTAACACCTTCGATTGGTTCTTGGCACTGGAGATATTTGCAGAGGTGTTTGCTGGACTAAGAAGCTGTAAGGGGCCCCATACAGCCTCCACTCTCTGTTTCAGGTTTCTGGCTTTCATACAAATTGGTAAGTTTCTGGCCCTGGATCGTCATGGAATCATAGAATGGTTTGAGTTGGAAGTGACCTTAAAGATCATCTAGTTCCAACCCCCCTACCATGGGCAGGGACACCTTCCCCTAGACCAGGTTGCTCAAAGCTTCATCCAGCCTGGCCTTGAACACTTCCAGGGATGGGGCATCCACTTCTTCTCTGGGCAACCTGTTCCAGTGCTTCATGGATGACTGAAGTTCTCTCCAGAAATCATTGCACTGCTGACAGGCAGATGACTTATGGGATTTCACTGCTCAGCCACATGAAACCAACACCTCAGATGCATACCTTCAGCTGCCAGAGCTCAGGTGTCTATGAAAGCAGAAAATTGCCAAGGGCAGAGTTGAACCAGCTTTCTTCAGGTTTTAATTCTGAAAGGGACTTCTTATTTCTAACTCCCAAAGCCATTCATGATGTTGGTCACAGTATTTTTAGTATCATTTGCAAGAAATGCTTTCCATATATAAGAAAAGGCACACTAGACCAGAGCATCCAGCTGAGGGACAGTGACCAACATCAGATGCCTGAGGAAGAGCATAGGAACAAAACAAGCATGAAATAATACTTCAAAATGTTCCACCAGCCTTTTGTCTGGACGCAGTCTGTGTCTGAAGGATTTGCTGAACTGGAGCATTCTCTTCTTGCTGCAGTGTCTTTTCCATGCTTCAGTTCTTCCTGATTTTCAGCCTCACTTCATTTCACTTTTAAAAGAAAAAGAAGAGAAACAGTTTGGATTTTAATAGATACACCAGAGGATGCATATTTGTAAGCTGGGGACCTGGCAAGCTGCAGGAACATCCTTAGTGCTGCCACCTAGTGTGAATAAGTCTTGCAAGAATAAATTCTCTTGGGGACAAGAGCTCCACTTAGACCGTGAGACTGTGTTTCCACACAGGCAACCACTGGACTCAATGGGATATCATAAAGAGAAGAAGAATTTGCTTTGTGATGGTAATGCACTTGGGTTTAAGAGACAAAGTAGGAGACTTAGTGTTCCCTTAGCCTGTAGTGAGTAGGTGCAGTGAATTTATTGGTTAGAGCAGCCAAATGGCAAGCTAACCGCTTAACTGTGTGCTGGATTGGAGCAGCAGGGATAAGAAAAATCAAGTGTTAGAGGAGAATATGGAAAATTTGTTGGATTTAATTTGCATTTCAGGGTCCCAAAAGAAACGTGAAATTAATGGATTAAATAAGGAACTCTAATGGCATTGCATAATAAATCATAGAGTTTGACACTTCTGTGAGACCTGTAGTCCTGGAGTTCTCTTGGTCTGTATAAATCCAAGACTGTGAAATTAAGGCTGTTTACCCATCATGGTGGGAAGAGAGAGTTCTGTGGATCATAGCATGAAGTCTGTTGCTGTTCCCACTGTGCAATCAAACTGTATGTATAGGTTTACAAGCTGTAGTTTAGTTATCTAGGTTTTTTTTTCAGAATCTGTTTTCCTATCTAGTGGTATAAATATAGTTAACAACTAAATTATTTGTATCACTTGCTAAGTATTTGCATAGATATTGTATTAACCTTTATGGACCAACATGTACTATGTCATTCCTACATTTCAGTTGGCAGGTAGTGTTTGTTTGTAGCTCAGTCTCAGACTTAGTCACAGGTGTGAGTCTTCCCTGCAGGTCACAGCTGTCCCCTCAGGGTATTAACAGTAGTGGTATGACTCTGAAGAAGTCAAAAGTTACCATAGAGGCTACAGGAGTAAAAGAGCATGAGTTCCACAAATAATAGTGCTTTATGAGTTCAGGAAACATGTAAACAGTGGGTGCAGTTTAATTTGCAGTTATAACAGTAAATTCTTCCTGTTTCCACCCAATAGTGTCACCCTGCTAATCTCACACGTGGTTGCCTGTGCTCACACAGTATATTCAGATGCTGCTAATGAGCAGCTGAAGGTGCTGTTACCTGGAGATGTTTTCTCCTGCTCTTCTACTCAGCGGTGGTGCTTGTAGAGCAAGGTCCTGTAGGATTTAAAAGAAAATGCCAAACTGTGCATTGGTTTTGAGCATTGGTCTACAGAATGTGTGGCAATTACGCCCTTGCTACGTGATTACACTTGATGATTCAGAAGCACATATAAGTGATATTACATTTTATTAGATGCCACTGGTTTTTGGAAGGAGCCAACCAGTTGGTTCCCTGTATATAAGAATCCTTGGCATTTTTCTGGGAATGACAGCCTAATTGTCTCAGTTGTCAACCTGCTGAGATGCAGAGAATCAAAGTGAGTATCAGTTAGAGAAGTTCTAGCTTACTTGGAAACTATCAGCATTTGTTTACTGACTCTCAAACTCACTCTATCTGTGTCCCAGACCTGTAATTCACACCTGGTGCTACTCCAGCATTCAGCCAGAGCATGCACCCTTTTTGAACTAAGGAGTGGATGGCAGGTGCTTCCATCTACTTCCTCTGCTCTCCTGGACGCATCATGGTGGGGATGAGGCATCCTGTTTTGTCATCATGCAACAGCTTCTTTGGTGTATTTGTCTTTTAATCATCCAGTATTTTTATATGAAAAGAAGATACATGATAGTGATTCTACAACGATAAAATGTGTTTACGATACATTATCAGAGTAAGGAACTGGGTAACGTGTTTGTAAAACACCTCACAGATTAAATCCAGGGCAAATGTCATATCACTCTGCAAGCTTTGTTTAAGGGACAAGTCCAGACTGTTTTGCTTGTGTTTGCCCTCCATCTAGATTTCCACCTGCCAGGGAATCTTTAAAACCTGGCAGCATCTCAATCGGGAATTTATCTTAAGACCGTTGAAAAGGTGTTCTGGACGTATGTATTCCTCTTAGCTCATGAAACCAAGATAGGAACAGTCTTAGATTTGTGCACAGTGGTTAGCAGAATGGGGCTGCAGTTTTGTCACTAGAATGTGCAAAATAAGAGTTTTAGAACTTGGCATAATGACTATCAAAACACGTCTGTTTTAGGAAGGCATCAGCATGCAGATGGTATTTGACCACATACTACTTAGAGAATCACAGCTTTCCTTTTTTCCCTTGTCCTAGAAACAGCACGTGTAATTCTTCAACTTTTGATGAATCAGAAGAGTGGCAAGTTGCTCAAGATGCTGAAATATGCTTGTTGAAGTCAGGAGAAATCATGTAAGCAGAACAGTTTCATTACTACCAGGCTGAAAGAATAAAGGCTGAGCTCAGATATCAGCTATGTGAGCACAAGTCGTGCAGACTCCCGGAAGAGCTGATCGCTTGTGTCCCACGGTAGAATTTGGTCTGTGGAAGAGCAGAGAGTATAGCTCAACTAAACAGAGCAGCAGCAATGAGCCAGATTCTCTCTCTTCAATCCTGCAAAACTTTAGTGCAAGTGGGGAATAAGAAGGAAAGATTTGGGTCCACATCACATCAGAAAAACCTCCTTCCTGTTCTTATTACAGGAGGTGCTGTGAACAGGAAGGGGGTTTGGAGAGAAGGCTGTGTAGTTCTAGTGGTCTCTGGAAGAAACAGCAAGGGAAAATCAGGGAGTGCTGTGCTGGTCAGACCTTTTCACAGGGAGAGAATTCATGGCCTTTTGGAGCATATGCCTATTATTAATTGGTGGTCCCTACCTACTGCCTGACAGAAACTGTCTTGCCTGCTCTGATTGATATATGCCATAGCATAAAATGTTCAGCTGAGCCTCTGCTCAACCTCTGTGATTTGCGTGCGCACAATTCTCTGCATGTATCCTGCTCAGAAGTTAATAGTTACGTGCAGCAGTGATACAGCATGTCACTTGCACAGCCAAGACGGGGATCTAGCGCACGAAAATGCCCGTAACTTGGAGAAACTCCCCTCTGCTCACTGTCCCCTTAAGCCTAGCTTTGAAATTTTGGCTTAGTTATGGGGAAGGTTTTAAAATTTTACTTCAGAGAGATAAATTAATCCATGTTTCAACACTGTTGCTGCTGTTCAGAGAACCAGGCAAATGAAGCAGTAACTAAAGTCATAGCTAGGCTGTAGGGCAAAACCAAGACTGGTCGTTAGTTTACTAAAATCAAATATCACCTTAGACACTCCAGCATTTACTTCAGCTAAGAGGATGAAGCAACAAGGTAAGCAAAACTTAATATAAAGCTTCCTCTCTGGCCAGAGTACAATAGTTATCATAATAAATCGGCTGTGATCCCTAACCACTGTGTAGTCGTGGTTGGAAACTGAACTCCTTACTCCAGAGCAGCAAATCATCATGGTGACTGTGTGGTATCTTCTGGCAAATGTGTTGATTTTTGATAGCTGCTGACAAACATGCCACAGTACTGTGATTTGCTGTGAGCTCATTGCGTGGGAAACAATTTGTTTGGCCTAAAGAGTGATTTATGAGTTCCGTTTTAGCTAGGGTAATGTAGGTGAAATCCTCAGCTCTTAAAAATTATAGGTTTCCCTTGAAGAAAGCAAGCAGCATTCTTCTGCTTAAGACCCTCAGTGTTTGCAGTCTGAAATAGATTCCAGAGTGAGGCAGGCTAATATAATGCTTCATGACTCAGGATCATCTAGGTGCTAAGAACTTCCTTTTTAATTGGAAGTACTTTGAGTCTACTTTTATGCAGCTTGCTTGGGTAAAACAGACCAAGCTGTAGCATTAGGTGCTTCAGAGGATCTAGACAGACCTGCTGTTAACATCCTACCCATCTGTTCCCTCTGTACTCCTTATGCCTATTTCTTGTACAAGTGAGATCTAGAAAGATGAGTAAATTAGGTGACTTAATTTTTGTTTAAACTTTTGTTTAAAAATAACAGCAGAGGGCAGCAGACTCTTTTTTTAATCATAGTAACTCTAAAAAAGCATTATTCAAGCACTAGATTATTCTAGTCAAAATGAAATAAATGAGTAACAGCCACATTTGCCAGAGCAGGGAAAGTGCTTGATATCAGTCATCTTTTCAGTAGTTCTTGCTTTCATCCAAGGCTGAATTTTCCTGCATCTTGTGGACATGTCCCAAAGTTGCTATGGAATCTGCCTCGAATAGATGGAAAATAAAAAGCAATGATTATTGATTCTGTCTGAGTAATTACATTGGATCTCTTCAAGTAGTTGCATTTTTCTCCCTCACAGGATCAAGCTACCCCTTACAGTGGAAGAGATCTTAAATTTTGGGGAAAGTAACAGAGAGCTGTTCATTAAATCCAGCACCTACAGTATCATTCCCATCACCGTTACAGAGACGGGGCTAACCATTAGCTGGATCTTTTCATCAGACCCTAAAAGCATATCCTTCAGCGTTGTCTACCAAGAATCAGAAGACACACCACTGGATCAGTGCAAAGTAAGGCCTTGGTTTCCTTACTACCTTAGAGACTGTAGAATGCTACTGTCAGCCTCCTAGAGGCATCAGCAAGCATAGCTTAGAAGGTCTCCACAAGAGTGGCAGTTGTGATTTCATTTAGGACTTGTTTCTCCAATTAAGCTACAGTTCTCCTGAGAGCAGAGCTACATTTTTAGTTATTTAATGTTGCCTGCAAAAGTTGAGTTGAAAAGCACGGTCGTTTCTGTTGTTTGCATCTCAAATCCACCCACTACTATTAAGCAAAGATAAAAGTCCAAGCCTGCAAAATTCTTCTTTTTTCCCTCCTCAGTATTATTTAATGTGTAAACTGCTTAGGGCTGATCTTGCCAGGCTGTTAAGCAGAGGCCACAAGGAGACAGATAAATTCATTAGGTAACCTGCATTTCTTACAGCGCAGCACATGTTTAAATGCCCTGATGGTGTGCAAAATCGCTTTGCCAGTGCCCAAGGTACCAGTTTTTATATGCGTTGTCCGTGTTTCATGAGGATTATGGATTAAGTGAATCTGTGTTACTCAGTTTATTGCAAAGTTTTAATGAAGACAAAGCAGCTGTTGGTTTAACCCACCGTGGCAGGGGGAGCTCTAAGGCTGTGATTTCACAGGGGGATTAAGACACTTATATAGCATGTGTTAATTCGCTCCACGGTTGCTAACTCCATGGAAAATCTCTTTTTTTCTTAATCTGAAAGCCGAATGAAGAGTGAATGTTTCTTCTGTCTCAATATATCTATTTGATGTAACTTTGGGTTTTATAGAGTCATCCTTGATTTACATCAGCTGCTCTTCTGACAGCTGTCTCTGCTAGGGTTTTGTAGCAAGATAGATGGTTACACGCACTTTTGCTGTAAGCTTAGATAAACAATTAAGATTTGCTGAGAAAGCTTATTTTATAATATAGTGAGTATAAAAACATATATTAAAAGACATATTTAGCTAAATTCTGCTCTTAAATATATTTGTATAGATTTAATGTAGCACTGCTGATGTTAGTAAACTTGCTTAGTTTAACATTAAAAAGATCAGGATTTTATTCTGTCTCTAAGGCAGAGAATTATAGCCATAGCTTAATGCTGTAAAGAGGTTATCAAGGAGATTTTAGTTTAGGTGAAATTTTTAATGCTAATCAGTGAAAATAAATAATTTTACAGGCACATATGCGCTTTGGGAGTTTAAAGGTGGCTCAAGTCTAAATATTTTTTTGAAGGCAAATGTCAATTTATAGAGCAAATATCAAGTTTCATTTTGATTTGTATTGAATTCCAGGTTCTTATTCCTATGACCCGCTGTAACTCTCATAAGGAAACTATCAGAGGACAGGTCAAAGTCAGAAATGCTGGAATCTACACACTGATATTTGACAACACATTCTCTAGGTAGGTCCTAGCTGGGTATAAAAGGTGAAATGAGCCTGGTTTTACAGAGTGTGGAACTAATTGGATGTACCATTATTCTGCCATTCAGAAGTAAGTAAGAAAAACTGGTCCTAGCTTGCCAAAAGATCTTCAGTCCGAGTTTTGGTTCATGTTCTTGTTTGGGTTTTTGTCTCTCCCCATAGCAGAATTCCACTCTTCTGTCTCCACCTCTGGGAAGGTAAACAGAAGCAAGCAAGTAATTTGTGACTCTTTCCAAGACAGTTTAGTCAGGATTGTCATCTTATTAACAACAGACCTGACAGCCCTTGCACAGGCATGCTTCTTTTTGACACCAGTCATTTTTTTGTCTGAGTATAGACTGAAAGACTGAATACACTTTTAAGGCTTCCTGTCTAGTTGACTTCAGCTAACATGATCATCTTGCTCTCTTTTTTTCCTTTGACAGGTTTATCTCAAAAAGAGTGTTTTATCACTTGGCTGTCGAGCGACCTGTCATCTATGATGGAAGTGATTTTCCATAGCCTTGACTATACTGTGTTATTTTTAATTAAATTTTTAAGAAATGCTGTTATTTATGTACATGTAAGCATTATGATTACCGCTGTGTTTGAAGACTTTGAAACTATGCAATAGTTATAATGCACTTAGAGAACACGCATACACTAAAAAACGGAAGCATTTTTAGGAACACTAATGGTTCTGTACTGTGTACAGATTGCTGAAAAGCCATGTTGTTTGATTTAACAGGTCAATAATAACCAAATTTTTTCAGTGGGGAGAAAAATAAGTGTGAAGGTGTCTAAATGTAAACTGAAATTCTTTACTGAAAATTTAATTACTTTTCTTCCAACAACGTCCTTCAAAAGGAAGTTTAAAGAAAAATGCATATTTTTGTTGACCTCTTCACTGAGGAGTAAGCATAACCATTTCTGTTCTGCTCTAGTGCTCTTACAGTCAGAGCAACAACTATGCAATACTTCAATCTTCACAGATATATATTGTAATCCATCTAGAATTTTTATCTTTTGCAAGTTTTATAAACAGCAAACACAGGGATTTTTTACATTTAGGGCTAAGATTTGCTAAGTCTTAACTGGCTTTTACAAATGCTTTGGTACTGAATGCCAGTTGCAATACAATACAACACAAAGCAGCATCTCCTTTCACTTTTGCTCACCGTACTCTGTGTAAGCTGGTCCACTGAAATGGTAAGTACCAGTGGCAGAAACAGGAGTATCATTTGTAGAATAAAGTACCACTCACTGTGTGATATTAGGAAGAGGGGCATTCCTTTTTCCTGCTTTAGCACCTTAGTCATCAGCATTGACAGGAAAGCACAGTTCCTGAGGAGGTTAGCACTGTCTCTCTCTTCAGACCACGTGGAAGGTAGCAATAATGTTTGAATCGGTCTCAGAAAGTCCATTCAAAACCAAATGCATATCTAGCCCTGAGGAGCTCTCCACCCGGTGTTAATGTATTCTGTCCCTTTCCTAACCCATGCAGTTCCCCTAGCTAACTGCTGACTTTCCATCTCGGATTTGGGGACAGGGCTGGCTGTAAACACTGCCTTTTAAGGGAAGACTGGGTTCTTGTTTATGCAAAATTTCCATGCAAACCATCTGCTTTCTATATCGAATTTCAACTTTTTGTCAAAATATCTAAAAGCAGATTTTTTTCTGGTTAAAAATCCTGTCTTCTGATGGAAAGGAAAAAACTTTTGACAGGAGAAAGGAGAAAAGCTCTTTGTTCCACCAGCCCTCCTTATCATTTCAGGTGTGTCTGATTTCCGTGTTACCATTCTCCCAAGGAAACCTCAGACCTGGAAGGCTTTAGTGCTGCAGTTGGTAGAAGACCAGCACAGCCTTCCAGGAACCCTGTAAACTCTTGGTGGCAGCTATAGCTGGTATACAGGGGTCATGGTAGGAGACAGAAAATAAAACATGAGGGGAAAAGAGAAAACGGGGCAAGCACAAGCTGAAACAAATGATTTAGGGGAGTGGAAAGGGGCAAACTTGTAGATGTAAAAACAAGGGCAGGGAATTGGAGGGACCAGCTCGACTAGGGAAGGGTCAGGAGAATCCAGATGGCATTTATGTGTTGCTGGTCCAATCTACTACCCGTTAAGGGATCTCCTACACTAAAAGTCTGATTGTTTGAAAGGTGGAGATCTCAAGACAAATGTTGGACATTTACATAGTAGCAGTTGAGGTAGAGGGAAATTTCTGATCATAGAAAAAAAAGAATACTGCAGATAAAGCTAAAGGTTGCTGATCATTCATTCCAGTTGTTAACAATGTATAAATACTGTGATTTTGAAAAAGATTGTGGAAGAATGACTACTTTCCATGGAGCACCTAGGTTTTAGGTGTCTAGCTCATCAATAGCTTTCCCTTCCCTTCAGACAGCTCTTCCCTGTGTTGGTGGTGTGCTCTCCAGCCTCTGCCAGGCAGAGGGGTCGGTGGGAGGTGCAAGGTGGTTTACTCCCCCTCCTGAGGGAACAGGCTGCAATGCACTTAAACCCTTACCTGGCTGCGTGCATGAACATCCGAAGACAAGAGACTGAAGTTGGCAATAAACAGCGCACCGATCAGTTCATAAATTATGGCATATTTCAGTGTTGAAGCTATGTTTTATATTTAATTAGGAAAGAGATTATTTATTGCTTTAAAATGGAGTACTGTGTACCATATGCTGTGCAATTTCACCGAGTTGTTACTGAAGCCTCCTGCAGTTTTCCTTTAAGCTTTTAGGTGTGGTTTTTAAAAGCATTTTGCTGCTGTTTTAGTTAGAATACTAATCTTACTAGGATATCTTCCTTAAAATGCCAAATGTGAGGTAAAGGGACACCGTCAAATATCTTAGGCCAAAATGTGACATCTCTGCTCAGAAGTATTTGAAATATCTCCGTTCAAAAATATTTGGCAACCTTGCCTCTGGATTTTCTCTCTGCATCCCAGTTCTTAACATTTTTTCATCCTGTGGAAAATACTTTTAACTCTTGAAGTGATTTGCTCCATCTAAGTAAGCCACATTTTTCCCTGTAAGTCTTCCATGTAGACAGTCCCAAGGCTGGCTGAAACATATGTTTGGGAGGAAGGGGAAAAAAACACTGCTTTTTTTTGTGTGTGTGTGTTTGAGTCTTTATGGTACCTTTTCTTCAGGTTTTCCTGCCCCATGAGAGTAGTTTTATAGCTTTTTTTGGTCTCTGAAAGAGGACTAAGGGTGGGAACCGTAGCCTGGAGTTAAGACGAAAAGGTTTGCTCCTAACCAAGGAGAGTATTTAGAAAGGAGAAAAAGTTCCGAAAGAAGAATACTCAAACTGTTAAGGTACCACAAGTGGACAGGAGTGCGACTGTTCAAATCAACTGTTGAAGAAGAGGAATCCCATCATGTCACCTAGAAGAGGGAGTTTTTTACACCTCAGAAGCTGTGCAGAGAAGGCAGTAAAGAGCCTGTTGTTAGACCAACCTTTTGTTTAAATGTCCCAGATGGGACATTCCTGGATCCACAGAAACTTCATAAAGGACTTAGCACAAGTGTAGGTTTGTGCAAGAGATGATTTCGTTCAAGCACCTTATACCTCCCTTCGTAAGGCACTTGTTCATATGAGCGGTGCCAGGGATGCTGATAAACTTTGTTTACCCACAGATTCTCAGGTCATTCCCTGAATTAGGCCTTTTATTAACTGACCATCCCCAGCCGTGCAGTTAAGAGAAGATAAATATTTTAAATGGATCATGAAATTGATTTAAGGGGATGTCACACTCATGGGACAAAGAGAGTACACATTGAGGTCAGCATACGCAATTGGGTGTTTGCCCTGGGTGCCAGAACAATGAAGGGGAATATTTTTTGTTACGCAGGGGTTTATGTGAATGAAAGAATGTAGCTGCTTTAAGAAAACGACAGTGTCCCTTTACTCAGCATTACTCAATGTTGCTTTATGAAGTCACAGAGATGTATTGCACAAGAGTGTACCACGTTACAAAATAGCAAAGCTGCAAAACCCTGACTTTGCTTCTTTTTTAAAATCGAAATTGCACTATAGTTTTAATTATGCAGAATCACTGAGATTGTAACTTGTTCAGAAGGATATTTTGATCTTAACTGCCAAAGAATTGCAGACCCCGCTCGCATCAAACTTCACGCTCTGAATTGGGGAAAAAGAGATGTATGTAAACCGACGTCTGTACAGTTACAGAGACGTAGACGGTTGTGTACTGGAATGTTTTGTGATGCTTTTTTTCCCTTTTTTAACCTCAGGAATTAAAAAAATAAAATTATCTATCATTGAGAGTGTGTGTCCCTTTTCTGCTTTGTAGAGATAGCTGTATCTGGAAGATAAATCAGGTGATTGTACGATCTACTTCTAAGCAGGAAAAAATACTGGAAAGTAAGGAAAATAGAAAATAGTTTGTCATGCTGGTGGAGAAAGGCCACGTCTGTACAGCACAACAGAGCAACAGCGGAGATCCTTAAATAAGTACTAAGTGAGAGGGTCCCCAGGCTAGAAGGACATCACTGTGTCCAGGTTATCTCCCCGTCACGACCCATCGCTGCTTCTTTTATCGGTTATTTGTTTCCTCACGGGAGTTTCCTGCTGGGGTGGAGACTGTGACGCTTCCCGTTCCTGTGCCCCAGCAGCAGCACCAGCCCCTGCTCCATGCTTGGAGGCTTCTTACTGGGACAGAGTCTCCAGCAAAGCCTAGCCCGCAGCACAAGGGACCTGCAGGACTCGTGTAAGCAACTGTGCCTTGCTGTACAAGAGCTCTGGAGGGGAGGCTGTAGCTGTTGAAAGTCTTTGTGTACATCTCCAATAGTCCATGTTTAGTCAGACTGGACAATATCTTCTCCCTTCTTTGGTGCTGGGAGCAAGGCTCTCCCAGCCGTAGTGCTGCCTTACGTAGGGTCTTAACCCACCTGTCTCTTAGCCTGTGCCCCAAGAATTGGCTTTGGCACACCCAGTATGACATTCTGCTGTGGGGACCATGTGAAGCTGCCATGAGACAGCGATATCCTCTCTGTTAGCCCTTAAAATGTCACAGGCATGTCAGATGCTCTGAAGTCCAAATACAAGGTTTCAAAACATGTACGGCCCAGGAGGCTCGGAGAAAACAGGCAGCACTTGGGGATGCTGGGACTGCAGTGTCTGGTCAGTTAAATGATGGATAATTGATCCAGATCATACTTGGAAATGGTGGGTTTGCACATACCAAACTCAGATTGATGGTTCTGGTTTTGGGCTACTTCATCTACCATGACTTCAGCAATGCTTGCAGCACCCATCGCCGTTCTCTTGCACCTTTCTGTCATCTTTCTGTGCTCTGGAAGAGGTGCTTCCATAAAGCACGTCTCTGTTTCAGGCAGGAGCAGGCATCGGTTAGGTGGGTTTGCCTGCAGAGACCCAAAGTTTCTCATTGACTCTTCCAACTTCCTCTCCTTGTACCTCAAGCAGGCTGGCACCACGCTACATGACTGCCTGCACCACAGTCGCAGCTACCTCCGGAAGCTTCACCGTATGAGTTGATGACAACCTGAAGCTACTGCCGTGACTGTCCCCGCTATGATGCAGCACTCGACTTTTGCATAATCTGGGAGTGTCAGGTCTGGCCCTGTTCCCTCCTGGAAGAAACCTGGGGTCCTGACACAGTTCTGGCTTTCAGAAGTCTGAGACAGGGACTAGGAGTCGAAACGAAGGATCTCAGGGTGACAATGCAATGCTTAGGGCAGAGACCAGCTGAGCTCCTCCTTCAAAGATAAGGGACAACAGAGGAATCTGTTGGCTCCCAAAATTGGGAAGATCTGGGGAAAACTGGCCTTGAAGAGAGGAGAGGGGAACCACGGAAGATGTCAGGCCTCTTCTGGGACTTCCAACAATTTCTCGGTGCCCGTCCTGCTGGAGCGATGGGTGAGGCACAGGCAGCGTCCCACAGGAGGCATGCAGGGCCGTGGGGCAGGAGAGGCAGCACCCCACCCCTTCAGGGAAACCTCCCCTCCCAGAAGATACGATCAGCTGAAGGCTGCATCCCAGGGAGGCATGAGGGGGATTTTAGTGGGGCAAATCTAGCTAAAACCTCAGGGCAGAGGGATGGAGGAGCCCTGGGAGGGCTTGGTCACAAGGAGCCAGGCTGCTGGGGACAGAGGTCCCTCGCAGACAGATGACGGGGCAATGGCAGCAGACGCCTCCATGACCAAGTCCCAGCTGTGTGGTAGCCAGCAGCGAGGGACCCTGCTAGGGGAGAGGCTGCAGCCAGAGGGGCCGTGAGAAGGCAGCTTCCCCGTGAGCCCAGGCTCGCCAGCAGCCTGGGGAGCCACCAGCAGCTACTGGAGCACTGGCAGCCCCAGCAGGACAGACCCCAGGATGGAAATGCTGCCCCGGGGAGGTGCTGATCCCCCAGGTCCCCGAGGCAAAGCGGCGGGAGCAGCCTGACTCAGAGCGGGAGCTGCGTGACCCAGGGACGACCCAAACTGCTGAAAGTTCATCGCTGGTTCTCCTCCCGCAGCAGTTTCACTCCCCGACCAAGAATGAAAATTTCCCACCACATTTCACAGCGCAAAGAAGCTTTTACCTTCATTGAGAAGACCTTGAAATTCAGGTTCCTGGGGCCGGCGGCACGCTGTGTGGGGAAGGGGAGCTCAAGGCCGCTGGGCAGCACCACGGGTTGGTGGCAGCTAAGGTTTGCATGCTTCTTTTTTGTTCGTATGGCTTGAGGGCTCTTTTGGGGCTGGGAGGACCCCCGGGTAGGCACCCTTGCCCCCATCCCTGGGAAGAGGTGACAGGGCTCAGCTGCTGCGGGGAAGCAGCAGTCCCCAGCGTGCTCCCTCCTCCCTCACCCTCGGAAACCTGCCCTCCCTCCCAAAACTGCACCCCACCCATTGCCGCAGCAGCCGAAACCCGCTCCGGTGCCTGAGGGGTCCTCACCTGCAGCTTCTACACCCCAAGGCTTAGACACACACGGCACACAGAGCACACTCTGTTAGCAAGGTTTTGCTCTGGCCTTTTTAGGGAGGGGAAAATCCTGTCGTTGGAAACAGGTTATGTCTATGGATCCAAACCTGGGAAGGATGTGTGGGCAAGAAAGAACCAGTCCATCCAGTTGTTCTTTGTGGCAGTGCCTCTATTTAACAGAATTTCGTCTTCTGTTCGCATTGAGCTCGATACTAATCACAAAAACCCTCCCAAACCCTTCTTACACTTACAGTAAAGAATACATACATCTTTCACCATTTTTTTCCTAAGAAAAATGTAAAAAAATATTTTAAAATCCTAATAAATGTATATGAAACTAGGAGCTCATCTGCTCAGCTATACCTTATTAGCTAGAAAAGCAGCGACAAACCTTGCAGAAAGCTCGTGTTTATTGACACACTTTAACAGTTAATGTACAAGGAAAATGCTTTCTTCCTGCAAGAAACAATTACCAGGAGGCAGACCAGGTTAAACGTGGTTATTTAAAAGAAAGCCCCCAGAGCACTACAATTTGGGATGGAAGACTGGGAGGTGCAGGCTGCGGTTGGGCAGGACAGGCAATGCCATGTCCTCGGGAGCAGATGAGTGAAGGGGAACGGCCGTGTGGTGCCCTGCAGCCTCGGGCCCCATCACGGCACCAACACTGGCACACCAAAAGCCCTACAGAAATTGCGGGGTGCGTTACAGCACATCGCTTTGGGGAACCACTGCCTTCAATACAAATTTCATTAACGTCAGGTTTGACAGTTAATTACTCTCTGTCTTACTGAACCCAGGCTAAATATATTTTCTCACTCTCAGCAAAGATATCAGTGCATAACTGGCAGTCTGCT